ATAGATCAGGTTTACATGAAACACCAAAGCACTTATCCAAGTGTAACAGGCATAAATAAGCAAGCAATGTTGTACAAACCAAGGCACGCACGAAGGAACGACGTTGACTCCAGCAACTGGGGCGTGGCAGCATCCATCCTTTTATCTCCAAACTTCCTCCCACAAGCCCCAGCTGCATACTGAATCTTGTATCCCAAAAAAACTCTCAGCACAACTTGAGTCACAACAGTGAACTATATTACTGAATTACCAAACATTATATAATGCTCCTGTCTCACTTTCCTCTCTTCTTACTCTGCTTGCCATAGATTCAAAATAAAACCACAGTTTTAGATGAGCAAAAATTGCATGTTGATGAGAAGCTGATCTAATTACGTGAAATATTTGGAGGCCGGACAGTTCTTCATGTTTAATTGTTACTCAAGTTGTAGATGTTCCAGCCCACCCCAAGCCTGCCATTTGCTTCCTAGGGACTTCCTTTGTGGACTAAGATATTCTGAATTTTATTCAGATATTCTGATATTTTAATTTGTATATATTTGGCCTAGGAGTCAAGTCTAATATTCTCAGGTAAAATGCAAATTGCAGTAAAGCAGACAAACCTTTGTAATGGTGACATGTCAGAAGATCATGTTTTTCAGCCTTGCATTTTATTTTAAAACCAAAGCAGCCATTGATGAAATGCGAGGAACCCCAGATTAGTAAGAGATAGCATTTGGGAGCACTGATTTTACTGAGCTGACTGAATGCAGAAGATTGAGTTCAAAAATCATAAAAGTGGTTTTATGTGGCCTGAGTCAAGGACTAACAGCTAATATAATAACAGCTTGAAGATGGAGAGCTTTAAAGTAACAATAAATGTTGACTACAATATAAGCTAGACAACTCTGCTGACATCTGTTGAAATCAATGGACTTAAGTGCACTTAAGTGCTGAATTGTATTGGGTACTTTATAGCTTACTGTATGGTCAATGAATCAATGAATCTATATTTATGAAGATTTAGCTTTTGGTTTGCATTTTCATAATCCTTTGTCATTTTCTTTAGTCTTATCTTTTAGCCATTTATATGGAAATTTGTAAAAAAAAAATGTACAGAGAGCCCCTGTAAAAAGGGGCTGGATACCAGGATGTTCATACATTTCTAGTCTCTGACTTTCAAACTAAAATGTTTGAAGAAAAATTTCTGGATAGTAAAGGGGTACTTTTCAAAGTGCTTCCTTCTAGATCATGGGTGTCAAACTTGCATCATCATGGTGGCATCACATGATGTATGGGATTTCCCCCCTTCACTAAACTGGGTGTGGGCATCATGTGACAAATCCAGCCCATGGGCCACAAGTTTGAAAGCCCTGTTCTAGATATATTGGAATAAATTCACCCTCATCCGCAACCAATGCTGTTCCAATAGAGAGGGATGATAAGGGGAAAATTAATCCAACATAATAGAAAGTCTCCTCAACCAGGACAACCTGAATTCTTAGAATTCTTAACATGGCCAATATAGAGCTTATATCTAATCTTTGCCATGGTCAGATCATATCCTAATCAGATTAACTTTTGTGAGGTGATTGG